CTTAAAACCAAAAAAAAAAAAAAAAAAAAAAAAAAAAAGAAAAAAAGAACAAAAAAAAACATTGAAAAAACTCAAGCAAAAATATGCTTGAAAACATTTAGCAAAAATGTTTAATATAAACTTATGTGAACAAGTATGTAGACATTTAGTATTTTTACTGTGAATTATTAAAATAATAATTATAGCAAAATACTACACATATTAAACATGCCATTAAAAACAAATTTTTGTCAGTACACAATATTCTTATTGAATATCTTGTACTTCTTTTTATTGGATTATTGTATTTTGTAATTATATATTGTCATCTTCTGTGTTCAGTGACTAATAAAACTTCTTATTCTTTTAAGGAATGTAAAAAATTGAAAAAAATTATAAATTGACAGTTTGAGAGAAGTATAATACTTACACGTTTTTAAAAAACTTTTCCATTAATATTTTCCAAAAATTAAATATTCTGGAATACTTGTGATAATATATTTCATATTTTCCGTATATATGAAATAATTCATATAGTGTAAATGTGAAAAATAGATTTATACAAATAGTTACGTAAAATGAAATAGCTTTCATTATATTTGAAATTTTATTTAGTTCAAAATTATTTTGAACATAAAATATATACAATGCATATAAAGGAATTTTAAAAAAAATACTATAATTAAATAACATTTATTAAAGCATGATTGAAAAATTTTATCTCTTTTTTAGTTATTATATTTTATTAAATGTATAATAGTGTAATGTTTTCAATACCTTTTTTTTATGTTTAAAATATGAATATATTCCATTATTACTCACATTTTTGAGTAAAACATCTAATTCAAAATATAATATTTATCAATTTGTTTATGTATTGATTATATTGTTCACGATTTTTCTATAATAGTATCAATGAATTTTTTAATTTATTATACTTTTACATGTATTATGTTTAATGAGAAATTAAGGCATTTCTGGAAATATACCAAATTCCAAATAGTTTTCTTATATTCGTTTTGTTTTAATGATTTGTATCTTCAATTTTATTCATATGTTCATCGTGTTTGCTCTCTTTATTTTTATTTTAAACTTAATATTTATTTACTTTTTCCTTTTTTTTTTTCTTCTAAATATTAACGAAGGGATAAAACCAAAAAATTTCAGGGTACCATATTTACATAATATTTATAATTAAAAATCTCTATGCATTACAATTTACGTGTTGTCTCAAACCCTTATTATTTTATTTATTTATGTGTAATTCTATATCAAAATAATATTTTTGTATATTTTAATATAAAAATTTTTAAATTGGTTCATACATATGTATTTAAAATGAAATTATATTGTTTGTCTTCTTTCTTTTTTTTACACATTTGCAAGCAATTTTCGGAAATTCCACTATGATAAAATTTTGACCTAATTTTATATGTATTTCAATTTACAAGTGCAGACAACATGTATCAGTTAAAACATTAATATTATTATTTTAAAAAATAGGTAGTAATCTATGTAATTTTTAAATATGCAAATACTGTAGACCCATAATGTCTTTCGGTGCTTTTGTATGAATATAATGTCTTGTTTAGTAAATAATTTTACTTTTTTAAAAATAAATAATGCTAGAAACGAATGTACATACACATATATAATAAATTTTTAAGTACTGACATTGCATATGAAACTTCTTGCGAATATATGTAGTTCTGATGATGGATCAAACAAAGAGACTTAACTTTTAGTTATGAAATCACTTAATCTTACTAAATTTTGTGTGTGATAAAACAATGATACTATTGAACACAGTGATAAATTTTTATACAGTAAACTATTATTCTATTATAATATTCTTTATTCATTTTACATCATATATCTAATGCAATTTTAGCTTTCATGTTTTGTAAAAATGTATTGTTTTGATTCCACTAGAAAGTCTAAGCGAGGTTGGGAAACTTTACATTATTAGTACATATTTAGATGTACTTTTAGGAAATGAAAATGAAAGATATGAAATCAAATTAAAAATAGTATATAAAATATGAATTAACCTAATTTACCATATTTAATATAAGGTAAAGCATAAAAATATACTATTTAAAAAATTGTTCAGTTCCACTTGTTTTCACCTTGGTTTTAATACCTATGTAAATATTTTAATAAATATCCACAAAAAATGTATAGTGAAAAATTTAAGTGACTTACAGTCAAAAATATAGTATGATGTAACTTGTACCAAAGTGTATAAAAGCTGCATAAATAAATAATAAATAATTTTACCTATCAATAGTTTGACGTTTCGTTATTACAAATGTAAAAATAAACAATATATTTTCAAATATGGTTAATAAAGTATATCAAAAATTTAAATGATTTGCTTTAAAAATCCCAATCTTTATAAAGTTATGAGAAATATGATAAACGTGAACAATTTAAACACTTTATTCTAAAATGAAAGGTTTTAAGAGATTCTTTGGTAATTTGTAAATAAATTTACTACTACAAGCAGACTGCAAATTCACCAATACACATCACCAGTTTCAACAATTTCACTGACATTGCATAAACTCTCACATTACTGTAATCTCAGAGTATGAACAATGAAATGTAATTAAATACAGTGACAACGTAGCAAAAGAGTCTATCTCTAAGTTAAAAAAAATTTATAACACTGTTACAGAATCAGAATTACATTTTTATGTGAATAACTCAAATATAAAATTACATAGAAAAACTTATGAACAACGGAAAATTCGTATAATTCTATGTAATGTATATACAAAGTGACGTATTAGATTAGGGCAGTTTATGCACGTACAAAGTAAATAACCAACGAATTATATTTCATTGAAATAATTATTATTTACTTTTAAACTTTACGAATTTTTTATCTACACATATAAAATGAAATTAAAGATACATAACCTTAGTAGTACAGTACAATATTCATAATTTTATACCTTTTCTTGTTCAGATTTAACATTTAAAAAATGTTCTTTTATTACATTTCTATATCTTTAGTTTAGCTTAATTAAGATTTACCCTAATTACATACGTAAAATTGCATATACTGACACAGAATATTGGTATTGAATTAGATTTATGTATTTTTGTATTATCAATCTCTTAGAATTACTTTTCTGTAAAATTTGTGTTTATAAACACAAAGTATTTTCTGCAGAATAGACAGGCCCTTTTGTCGCATGCTCACTGTAATGAGGTACACAGACATGAAGACTTAGCTGTAAAGATCATCATCCCCATCATCTTGGAAGGTGTGATCACCTTGTGTTATGTCTTGAATACCACTTGTTCCACTTTGTGGAAATCTATGGAAAATTAAAAGATTAATTTATCCATTATTTTACAGCGAATGCAAATGAATATATTAAGTAAGATATATATGATCATAATAATGAACTTTATCATTTATCTGATCATAAATATTAATTATAAAAATACTATATATCATCGTATACATTTAAAAATATCGGAATAATTTGAATAATTTACATATTTTACCTGAAATTGCTTCCAAATCCACGAGATTGTTGAAGTGTCTGTGCGAACATTTCATACTTTCTAATATCATTATCAGATACAGAACGTCGTGCAAATCTCATCGCTTCTTCAAAATGAGTTCTGGTTATTTCTGGTACAGGGTCATCTTCATCCATCTTTCATATTGTATATAGAATTACCAATAAAAAGTATTATATACATCAATAAAATATATACATATAATTAAAAGTTGTTTTCAATATATAATTCACATACGATTTCATACACATCACAATATCTTTTTAAAATAAATAAACATGGAAAATTAAAATACAAGATACGTTTAACAGTTGTAAAACTTATTTTGAATGCTGAGTACTACATTATTCTTTAATTCTTAACTTAAATGGATACATCGAATCAAAATATTTAATTCATGTAAGACTTACTTTTATTAATATTACATAAAAAATATATTGTTCACGGAAATATCATACTATTTAAATTACAACAAAAAGTATTTCTTACAGTATTATTCTCGATAGCTTGAATGTTATACTTTATTCAGTAGCAAATAAAAATTGAAATTATTAAGATTCATAAATAAAATATGTAGTGTCAAAAAATACTTACATCCATAGATGCAGATGGATTACTAGCACGCTCTTTTTCTCTTCGAATCTCAGTTTCAATGCTTTGTCTAATAGCAAGTTTACATGCACGCTGACAAATTTCTGTTATATCAGCGCCCGAGAAACCATGTGTTACTTTAGCTATATAGCTTAATTCTACATCCTGCAATACAAATATTTATAAGACAAAATGTAAATGCTTATTAATAATATGAACATATTTAAATTCTTTTTACCTTTGCTACAGGCGATTTTCGAAGATTAGCTTTAAAAATCGCTTCTCGAGACTTTTCATCTGGCAAAGGTATATAAATCAACTGATCTAATCTACCAGGTCGTAAAATGGCGGGATCAATAATATCAGGGCGATTAGTAGCTCCGATGATAAATACGTTTTTCTTTGCACCCATTCCATCCATTTCTGTCAAAATTTGATTTATTACGCGGTCTGCTGCTCCACCGGCATCCCCTATTGTACCTCCACGAGATTTGGCAATAGAATCAAGTTCATCAAAGAATAACACACAAGGAGCTGCAGCTCGTGCCTATAATTAAATAATAATAAACAAAAATAAGTATTGAAGTGAA